GTTCTATGGGTAACTCTAAGAGGTTCCACTAATCGTTCCTCCTCCTCACTACACAGTGTGTATGATCTAAACTAGAACCCGTACTGGATCCTACCTCAGCATGACACACAACCGATTCATATCTAAGTCTAAGTTCGGTCAGCCCGGAGAGAAGTAGTCAAGTGGTAACCAGCAATCAATGTCAGGTCCTACAGGGACTACTAATTCTATTTTTAGATTACTCTGGAACAGAATGCATGCGGCAAAGAATACTAACTATCTGCAGCTGTCTGTTAGTTGTCAGTCAAGCCCGTAACAACTAAATAATCAAAAAAATAAAATTGTGTCACCTGTAGAGATGCATGCTGGATGGAATATTTTCCAATTAGAACCTCTGCAAACAGTTACCGGAATCCTCCCTCTCCCTGTATCCTTCTTGAGTGGTCACTTTGTGTCAACGCCCTGAGCATCTGGTTGAGCGGTGGAACTTGTGGAGTGAGGAAGACGGATCTGGAGGTGGTTCTGCCCCTTGTGTAGGTGCGATGGCGAGCCCGCTCGCCTGCTTCGAAGATTCAAAGTTTGGCGGGCGAGGCGTAGTGCATGGTGAGCGGCAGTGGGCGGTGCGGACGAGTCCTCGCAGACGATTTCGCGTGGGCAAGGCCCTTGGGACCTCGGATTACGCGATAGCGCAAAATGCGCTACGGTGCGTTGGTTTGCGCTCACCGAACAGCGCAGGCGCCCATGACGTTTTGTGATATTGATATTGATGGTGGTTCGGTTGAGAAGACCTTAAGTAATGTTGGAGCTTGGATGACATTTGGTTCTGTGGTTTTCTGGCAGGCGTGCTGGTTGGATTCTGTGGTGGTTCTTATGCCATAATCCGAACGGAAAGGGGAAAGTATGATATGGACGATGTTCTGGCTGCTTTTCTGCCGTTGCTGTGCATTCCTTCAGTTACTGCTATCCTTGTTGGCATTTACAAATGGTGAGCAATGTCAACTACATGATGGCCTGTGTGACCTATTTCTTGTTCTCCAACTACTCTGTGCTGATATGTTCTCTTGCCTGCCTTGTAGTGTGTCACCTCAATGGTACTGGTGTTTGTGTGCTTTGGTGCATTTTATGAGGGCAGTAAGAGTATGAACAATGTATAGAAACCATGGCTGCCGCGGACCTGGACATCAGACTCTGCCTTGTCTAAGTACTTTCAGTCGATCTCTCTCGCTCCCTCTCTCTGTGTGTCTTGAACCGGTTGGCCGGTTGCCAGATTGCCTGCCTGCCTGCCTGCCAACGTGTCAGTCTGTCTACTTCGCCCTCGCTGTCCTTCCTTACCTCTCTCTCCAATGCGCTGTGGAATGTTTTCTCTTTAACCATCCGGGCCTGTCTGGCCTGAAACATCACTCCCACCAGCTAACACCAACTTTGATTGAAATATGCGTTAGGTTTGGCTCAAATATTCTTTGATGGGCCAAATAGTTTTTATTTCCCCCCCCCTGATGTGAAGTAACCTAAGAAACATCCCTGTTTTATTCAGAATCTTTTTATGTTTAAAATCGCCGAAGTCGGGGTACTGGGAATTATTGATACCCCCCTGCTACCCCCCTTGGATCCGGTACACTGAATTGGTATACTCTTGCCCTGCTTACCGTTAAGAGGTGGACTTAGCTTCGGGCAAACTGGTAGTTTAAGTCATGCATCTTCTTGTGCTCCACGATGCATCATTTGACATTTGAGATTGTCATCATACCCACTTTTTGGCACAACGGACCATGCGTCATACAGTGCAGCCCAAGCCTGCTGAAATGGACTTCAACACCCAAGGCTTTATTGAATCGATAGCACATGCACGGTAGTTCAAGCCAATACAACTCAATCCACAAGCATGGAGATAATGAGCACTACCACCATTGCATTTTGGATGACGGGCATGTAATTCTTCAACATGTAATTGCAATATCATTCGTGATACACCGAATGCATATGACGTATGGTTACAATGGGGAATTAAAACATCTTCTAATGTGCCAAGGGCAGGTAAAGAATGTTACCGGCAAGTCACACTATTAAGATAGCATATATGTTATCCATGAGATGAGTAATTGGGGGCATGGACGTTTGGGGAAGGTGTGTGGGGAATGTGTGCTCGCGGAATGATTTGAGTAGACTCTGCCGCAGACTATATGTTTTCTGTAGACTGACGGTTGGCCTGAACTTTTGTCTATCTTGTGCGGGAACGTGTCCTCTTGGAACGATTTGAGTGAACTTTGGGGGGTAGAAGGGAATCTGGTGCAGAGTATATGTTTTCTGTACACTAAACCGTTGGCGTGAACTTGCGTGCATCCTGTTTGTCCATCCTCCTTATTACTGTGCCAGTCCCTGCGTCACTTATCGCCAGGTCTACACAAGTGGTTAACGGGCAGTCGGGGACCCCGAATTTCAGCTCCTGACTAATGGGTCCAAAACTGAAATTAGGGGGTCAAATGTTATGTTTTTTTTTGCCTGTTTTTGTTTTGGTTCAAGGTTTCTGCGTGTGAAATTAGGGTTTGGGGTTCAGATTTTAGGTTTTCTGATCTTTTTTTTTGCCTATTTTTGTTTTGGCGCAAGGTTGCTGTGTGCCAAATTTGGTATGATGTGGAGAATTGGAAATTTCTCTGCTGAGATTTCTGAAATTTCTCAAGATTTCTGAAATTTGAGCGTTGGCGAAATTTCATGAAAGTGCACTTTTGCCTTGCTGTTTTATAGTTTTTTTTAATTTTATTTTTGCGGTTTTTTATTTTGCAATTAGTTTTATGGTCTCCACTCCGTCAATTGGTGGCAAGTTTGGTTAAAATGACCCTTGGGTGACAAGTTTTCTGAAATTTTGGGCCTCCATTATTTTCCATCTTGTATAGGTGCTGGATGCCATGAATTTGCTTGTTTTGATTTCAATAGCAAATGTGAGTGGAAGTGTGCTTGGGTTTCTGAGATGGAAGGGTGTTGTAGATTGCCCGGCATTTCAGATCAAATAGTTGCCAAGGATAAAGAGGTAATAATGCTGTGCAACGTTGATTGTGTACCGTTTCCTCCCATCGGCAGGAAGGATGACGGATGGAAAGTTTCTAAGGCAGCGTTCAGACTGGTTGCTGGCGGATGGCTATTGCTAGCCCTGGTGACCATCTTAATCGGTGTCAAATGTTGGCAGGTGAGAGTTCCTTGTCAGTCTTGTTCGCGCATGTGGCCTATCTTCATCTTCGACGCGTGAAGAGCATCAGGCTATCATCACTGTCATCCAGTCTGAAAGAGCATCAGTGTTTAGGGTGTATGTTGTCAACCTGTCGTGCCAGTGTGAAATATACATGGATCCCCCTGCTTTCCTCAATCGATAGAGAAAATATGGATTCCTGATTTCATATGTTCTTTTGCTGTTACATTTCTGTTGGTTAGTGTCAAAAATTGGCAGCTGGAGTTCTTTGTCTGCCTTGTTTTTCCATGCAGACTCCTTGCATACCTTCCGGTATGAAAACTGAAGAGCATCAGATTATTGTCACTGTCTTGCTTGAGGGCTTAGGGTCTAGGTTGCATTCCATTGTGAAATATGCAGGGATTAAAAAACACTTCTACTTCCCTGATTTCATCAATATGGAGACAGTGAAGATTCCTTTGCATTTTTGCTATTTGCCTGGCTCTGGTGCCATTGTCCTAATTCTCCCTGTGTACGATCAGGCAACTGTCTTGCGATGGAACTTGTGGAGTGAGGAAGAAGGATGGGGAGGTGGTTCCACCCCCTAAACTCTGCCCTTTCTTTGGCATTCCCTTAGCACAGAACACCTCAACAACAGGCAACTACGATCACAAACAAAGAAGGAAAAAACTTTGCCTTAGAATACCTCGAACAATAGGCAACTACGACCACAAACAAAGGAAAAAAAGACTTTCTTTGGCATTCCCTTCGCACAGAACACCTCAACAACATGCGAGTACGATCACAAATAAAGAAGGAAAAAAACGTCTTTGGCATTCCCTCCTGTTTTCTTTTGGAGCCAAGCTGCAGCAGGTCTTTTTGTTATGTACCCGATTGAACTTCAATCCACAGCGAATTCACACATTCCCATTCACACATACAATTGCAGAGTAGACTCGAAGGAGGCAAATCCACACAAAACCGGAGAGAAGATATGCAGAGCGGAAGCTTGAAATACACAGAGAATCGAAAAACGAATTTCAATTCTGCAATCCCTCGTCCTCCTCCAATCAATCCAGAGTACTTGTTCCAAGAATCACAACCGTGTTTACAACAACCCTGAACAACCAAAAACAAGTGTTCAACGAAGTACGCAGGAGTCTTCTTCCTCCTCCTCGCCAGCTCATACTCCTGTCTATGGCTGCCGTAGCAGCAGTAACCCCACAGCTGTCACAACGTGCCAATCTGAACTGGCAATCCCAATGATAGCAGCGCCAGCTCAGCGCCCGCACAGAAGCGCAGCGCTGGAAGTCCTGATGAAGAAGGCGACAACCGATTCGGCACTTCGAAGAAGGTGAAGTTCCCTGTGAGGAACAGCAGATATGGCTGCCAAGTGGAAAATGGCAGCGCCCACACCCAACAACACAGTCCTGTGGAAACTCCCATGCAGACCTGCGAAATAGCAGCAGTGCGATCTTCAATTTCGTTTCTCAACCCCAGCTATGGCTGGGCTTCGAGGAAGAAGATGACGCCCAAAATAGCACAGCAGCGCTTTAGCAACGGACGGGCAGAGTTTCCGCAGCAAAACGAGGTGCAAAAGACCCCAATTCTATTTTCTCCCGCTACTTCTAGACTCGCGGACTAGACCTATGAGGGATTCTTCAGGCAACAGCCCAAGTCTCATCTTTATCTCGGTGGAAATTGGGGAAAGGGGACATAGACCTAGGACAAGGCAAAAGAAAAGGCCGAATGGCCTAAGACTACCACACAGAGACCACTGGTGACAGACTCAGGGATCGAGCCCAATAGGGCTCAAACTAGCAAACAAAAAATACAAATTGCAGGTAACGGGATCAAGTCCTGCCGTGATCAAAACAAGAAAACAACACAGACAAGGAACACAGCAGACATATAGCACACCAGAGGTCTTGGGATCAAGTCCCAACAACCTCAAAACAGGAAATTTGTGTACAACTCGCAGAGAGGCAATGCAATTCATTGCATTTTAGTCTCCGTTAGTTCCTTCTCCTGCTGCTTTCTGCTACCATGTCTTTTCACAGTGCAAAGATTTCTACAATCTTATTATTCAATTATTACATTCTGTACAATCTTGTAATTGTCTTCTTCTTGCTTTGACTGTAGTCTCAATCTGCTTGGGTTATTGGATAGGCCATCTGCACCTCTTCCTCTCCGTTGATGATCATGATAGTGCGACCCATTTGTTTGACGACTGGGGTGGACAAAAGACTTGCACACGTACAATCAGTACCCCAACGATGAACGAACAAGCATGTGTATCAACATGCAGGACTCCAGCAAACAGAGTTACATTACCACTAGGTGCCGATCGTTTGAGAACCGGGGAGCAATTGGAGGCAACATCTGTCCATGTGTACAGAATCTACAGATAGATGAATTGAAGTCATGTAGAAATCGGACTGGATGAGCAGGAGGAGATTTTTCCCCATCAGGCAGCCTCACTATCTATCACTTTGTCAGGTCCAAAGAATGGCCAATAGAATGACTCAAGTACTCGTTCGTTAGAGCTGCATGTGCAATCATGACTGATAGTGAAGACCAGCAGTAGAGACCTGGTTGGTCAGAGCTTAGAAATGAGCGATTTGTTGCTCAATTGTTGCTCAATTAAGTGTGATGACCCAGGCCAAGTTTTGGAGTTTGGGTGCAGCTGTGCATGCCAGGAATGCCTGTTTGTGGCACCTCTCCAGCGGAGAGGAAAAGGGTCGAAGGGGAAGGGTGGTTTGAGGACAACAGTGATGATGCACATCGATATTATGAGGGATGAAGAGGAGGTGGGAGGGAGGAGGATATGGGGGACTAAAGTTTTCTTTTCTAGGTGATTTGTTTATCTGTTGACTGCTCCCTGGTTATGGACCAACTTACCAGGGTATAAATCCCATCATGCCTACACCTGGCAGTGCATCCTCCTCTTCTTCCTCCCTCTTTTTCCCTCTTTTCCCATCCTCTTCTCCTCCTCCATTTGGCATGGATCGTTACAGATAGCGCATGGTTCATATAAAGATTTCATGGTGTCTCCCCTTGTGGATAGTTTTGCTCATTGCCGCTCTCACATGCACTGTTGTTTTTCTGATGCTGTAATGTTTTTGATGTATTGTGGTTTCTGTCATTGCCACTTGCTGTGTTAGGTGGCCGGGTTGTTTATGTTTGTCCTTCTGCTCGTGTTCTTAGGTATGGCGGCAGCATATCGCTGGGTAGCACATAATTTTTACCTTACACGATGGGAGATGGTATTCGTTGCTCTCATGTCCCTGCTTTTAGCGCTTGGTGCATTTCTGTTCGGCATTTTAACAGGTGAGAGAGGACATCACAGTCGCCAAGCTACTGTGTGCATTACTTTTTCTATTGATAATATCATGTGTTGGCACCAGCTCCTAGCATGTGCACAGCATGTGCATATCAAGTTCTTTCTATTTAGACAAATTCCCTCAGATGGTTAAAAGCACAAGAATGACTTGCCAAAGTGTGTTTTTGAATTGTCGAGAATTTAATCAAGGTTGCGGAGTGGTCCATCTGGAAGGAAAGGTGCTGTAGAACCATTGAGGGACTCTCAACTCCAAGGGAAAAGGTTTGGGCGGAGACAGGTCTTTCATTCAGGTGGAGATCCTTTGTAAATGGCACAAGACGAGACAGTCCATGCCAGATGACGAAGAGCAACAGAGAAGAATCAAGACAAAATTCACTAAGGTGTGGCTTGCAAGGGGCAAAGTGGCAGAGAGAAATGTCTGTCACATACGATGGAAAGACTGGCACAACTCAGAAGCAGGGTGGCGAAGACAGAGATTCCAGCCAGCACAAGGACAAGATCCATGACAGGTCACATAATATTGAAGGGCAAATTCCGGGACTGTAACTTCCGTAGCTTCTCTTACCTTTCTTGCTCTTTATTAGTCATCCGATAGGTTTGTGCAATGGACCTGAGAGGAAAGGTGGAAGTAAGGCAAGCTGACAGTCAATACTCCATTATGCAGGAGTAATCAATGCTGTTCAGGGTTCCTTCGCCCAGACGGAAGGAAGCGTGAGTGTCGCATACCGTAACGGTACAGACCAGAACAAGAACCGACCTCTCTCACATAGTACAAGATAGCACAGCGGAAGGCTTAAATACCAGTGATCCGAACAATCGATGTTGCCATGCAGATCAATCATACATCATCATCATTCCATGGTGTGAAGGGGCCTGGCGCTCACACAGGAAGAATGCGCCAGTCCCCAACTATACACAGGCGAAGAAGAGGGGGGTTAGACGAAGAAGAGGGGAAGATGGGAATGTCGTCAACACCAAGTCTTCGGTACAGTCCCAAATAATCCCTCTCGTCAAATGTCTGAATCCCAATGTCGAGTCTGGATCCAAATGTCGTCAAGTCCCAAAGTCACCAATCTCTCTCTCTCGTAGTCTGCAGATCCTGAGAAGTCAGGTAGCGAGAGGGTGAGGAAGAGATGGACTTAGAAGAGGAAGAAGAAGAACTCTCTCTCTCTCTCTCTCTCTCCGGTACTAACCTGTGAAGGTGGCGCCTTGTTGCAGGTACATCGAAGACGAAGCTGGAGCTATGGCGCCACAGGTAAGTCTCCCTGGCCTCCGCCAACCATCTCTCTCTCTCTCCAACGCTACTCTAGCTCCTACTAGCGCCCAGCGCTGAAGACTACTGCTAATGCTACTACTACTCCTGCAGCGCTCCTCCAGAGTGCTGCTGCCGAATCCTGAAGACTACCTCCTGCCTCCTGCACGTGAAGTGCCTGGGAAGTTCCTATGAACTGCCTCCTGACCCTCTGCAGCCTGTAGGGCGGGCCAGTCTTATATAGTGCTGGCCCATCCAGGAGGCTGCTCTTACCAATGCCAAAACGTGCCAGACCCTGGCGTTGAAGTTCAAACAAAGGCTGTCTTGAAAACAGGCCCAAAATGGCCTGTGCTAAAACCCTGGTCTGGTGCCTAAGTTTCAGGGCAGGTCGACTTTATGAGGGCCTGAAAATGGCCCTCGTTTTCAGGCTTTTAGGCTGAAACGACACAGGGCCTGTAGGCCCTCGTTTTCAGGCTTTTAGGCTGAAACGACNCCTCGTTTTCAGGCTTTTAGGCTGAAACGACACAGGGCCTGTAGGCCCTCGTTTTCAGGCTTTTAGGCTGAAACGACACAGTGCCTGTAGGCCCTCGTTTTCAGGCTTTTCGGCTGAAACGAAACAGGCCCTACACCTACGGACCCCTAGTCTACCTGGCCGGGCCCTGCTGGGCCCGCAGGGTACTGAGTATGCCACAGTGAGTGTGTTTCATGATGTAATATTTTATTCTGACGTGCCGGTGGAAAAGGAACCGGACTGGTGCTCCCCAGAATGGACTTGGAGCCAGGGGGCCATAAGTACCTGTTAAAAAAAAAAATAAAAAAAAATCAAGGTTGCAGAGTGAATCGGTCCCTAAGGAAGCCCTGAGAGGCGGCTCCGATGGGTACTGGCAAGTGACAAAATTTGAATTAAGCTAGCGCTACTGAAAAAAAAAAAAAAAAAAAAAAAAAAAAAAAAAAAAAAAAAAAAAAAACCCTGAACAAAACAAAATTGGATGATTGTACATTCCGTAAAAAAACATCTAGAATCAATTGTAGATTGCAATCTTGAAGATGGCCACTGCCGACGGGTGACCATGTAGGCCCCGACCCATTTGCGCTGACTGGTAAGTAGTAGCTGACCAATTCCTGCCAGTGGACAGGACTGTAGAAACTGCCAGCGGAGTGGCAAGGAAGATATGCAAAACCGCGAGGGTGACCAGTCAAAGTCAAATTTCCTAAGGGTTGAGTTACTGTCCTGTCGGGAGGCAGAGGGTCTGATAGGGGACAGACGGGTGCGGAGAGAGGGAGCTAGACGTGTCTGAAATAAATGGGTTAGGAATCTTAGGATTCTTAGGAATGATGATAAGTGAAGCGACAGGGAGTGCACTGCACTGGTGAGGCAAGAGAAAAAAGAAGAAGAAAATGAGCGTTCCCGTTCCCTCTGGAATCCTCATCACTTCATGTTTTTAGGACCCCACTATTTTGATGGTGATGAGGACTAATGGTGTTGGTGATGATGATGCGGTTCCTTCTTTGCTGTTGCTGCTCCTGCAGCTGCTGCTGCCTATGGGGTTCTGCTATTGATAATGTTGATGGTGATGACGACTGATAATGACAGTTCATGATGATTGATGCTAATGGCAATGGCGATTGATGATGATTGATGATGACTGTTGCTGACTTTTTCTCAAGGATGTCGCTCACTCTGGGTGACATGTTGAGATCTTACAGTTGCCCCCATGGAGATCATGAGGGGAGAGGGGCAGGGAAAAGCAAAATAACCCGGGTATGGGCGGCCAATGGAAAAATAAACACGGGCATGGGCGGTCTCGGGTGGTTAAAAAAAATCTGAAATGGGTATGGGCATGTAGCGGTTCCTTTTGGGGCAACCGGGGTACAAGTACCAGGTAGTATACTGTCCCCTCCCCCACCCCACCCCCTCTTCCCTCCCTCGGGCCATCCCAAGTTCCCAACATGGGTAAGTTCGGGCTTGAAACTTTTTCAGCGCCGCCGCCCCGCCGCTGTTCCTGCACCCACTGCCTCGAAGGCTAGAACGTTCGAGTGCAGCATGCTTGCTCACTGCACCGCCGGCCCACTGTTTTCCAGACTCTCACTGCCTCGACTCTGAAGTCGAATGACCAGGGCAGCATTCGAGGGCAGTCATGCAGCGCTGCCAGCTCACCTTCGTGCATTGCACGTTGCCGCCAAGTTTCATTGCCGCCGCCGCCCCTGAAGATACCAACCAGCAAGCTGCAAGCATCATAGACAGTAGTCACAACAGCATTGCAATCAAACTTGTCTTCCTCGATGCTCAGCATGCACGCAAACAGATGACGATCAAGCTGGAGACTTGCGCCCACACGACGCTCAGAGATAACGAAGCCAAGAACACAGTTCAGATTCAAACTTGTCTCGATCGGCTATGGCCGATTGCTGTACTCCCAGCAACTTGTTCGCACACACACCCTGGATCTCCCTGGATGCCGCACACACATACACACAGTTCAAAGGTACACACACACACACACACTAAATATGCTAACTGGCAGCTATGGCTGCCGCCTACTCCCTCTATCTTACACAAGCGGCTATGGCTGCGTCTTCCTCCTCTTAGCCCACTTCCTCTTCGGGCATCTGCAGACCTTCGTACAGCAGACGCTCCGACAGCTCTTCCGCACGGTTGACAGGCAGAATGAATGGTCTGCCCCTTTCCACAGGGCTCGGGGTGCACACAGTCCCACATGGTACTTGCTGACTAGACAAAGTGCGATTGGGCTGGGTACCGCTGACTAGGACAGGTAGGACTTAGATCTGCCCTCTGTTGACTGTGCTAGGACTGCCCTCTGCTGACTCAGACGCGGATTGCCTCTAAGATTCGTGAAAGGCCACTTCCGGAAGTTCTGGAAGGCCGTAGACTTGACCCTTTGATACTGTAGCAGCTATGACCTTGACCCTTCGACACTGAAGCAGCTACGACCTAGACCACTGCTATTGACTCCTAACCAACAGACCTACAGCTCAACACCCGACGACCACACTATCTACAACAGCCAAACACACGACTTTCAGCACACTGGTCGTGGGTTTAAACAGACACAGGTCAACTAATACTGTACATGGGTAGGGGTGTGGTCTAGGGATCGAGCCCTGAGATCTGCATCTGCTACCGTAAAGGTGAAAAACGTTTCATCATGGAACAACAGGGTTGAATGCTCTGGGCGCTGGTGCCAGTGCTTGCTTGGGAGGCACTTCAAATTCTACTCAGACCACGAGACACTCAGGTGGCTAAAGACTCTGACCAAGATGACACCTAAGCTTACTAGGTGGGCCGCAGAGATCAACCAGTTCGACTTTGAGGTCAAGCCCGTTAAAGGAATTTACAATGTGGTAGCAGATGCCGTGAGTAGGAGAGCCAACTACTTTGGAGCCATAGTTCACTACTTGGACATAGGGACCGACTTACAGCAAAAAGTCAGAGATGCGTACACTCAAGACCCTATTTATAGTGACCTCCTGAAGAGAGTAAAGGAGGACCCAGCCAGTGAACCGGATTACCGCACCGCGAACGTGTTGTTGTATGAGAAGACATACGTCTTGGATTGGTTGTGCATCCCCAACAGTGAAGAGATCCGAAGTCAATCTTAGGGGAATGTCACGACACAGAAGGGCACTTCGGCTGGCAAAAGGCATTGACCAACCTGACACGTGCCTACACGTGGCCTAGCATGAAGGCTGACTGCATAGAGTATGTGCGCAGTTGCAAAGTCTGCCAGTGCAACGAAACTACGACCCGAGCTCCATTGGGTATTCTCAGACCCCTGCCTATCCCATCAGGACCCGGAGAGTCTGTGTCCATTGACTTTATGGATGCTGGGGTCAAAAGAGTAGGCATGGCAAGAGCCAAGTCATGGTCATAGTTTACCGTTTTAGCAAGTATGCACTTTTTGTTCCTTTGCCCCCTAAGGCACACACAAAATTAGTAGTAGAAAAGTTTTTTGATGCCTGGGTATGTGAGCACGGTATTCTGTTGTCCATAGATAGTGATAGAGCCACGCGGTTTGCCAGTCAGCTTTGCAGGAGCTTATGAGAGTCTGTGACTCAAGTTGTTGATGTCATCTGACCGTCATTCAAAAACTAACGGACAGACAGAGCAAATGAATAAGATCCTGCAGCAGATACTGAGGATGTACATTAGACCAAATCAGATTAACTGGGATGAGACGCTCTCTAAGGTAGCTAGTGCCTACAACAATAGTGTTCACTTAGCTACCTGCATAACTCCTAACGAGTTGCACAAGTCCTTTACGTCGCGCAGGCCGTTTGGACTGAATCGTGACCAGATACAGAGACTGCCACCCACAACTAGAGAATTTGCGTTGCAGCATGAGAGAGAAATCGCGAGGGTGACTAAGAATCTGAGGAAAACTCCGCACAAAATGATCGAGCAAGCTAATAAGCATCGTCGCCCATCGCAGTTCTAGGTAGGTGATTTAGTATGGGTCAAGTCTAAGGAGTTCGCCCTTAGAAGAGAACATCTCACATAACTTGTTACCCGCGTATAGGGGACCCTGGCCTGTCCTAGAAGTAAAGGCGGAGAAGATGGGCCCTCTTACACGATTGAGATAGCGGCACACCTCCACACATACCAAGTCTTTCATGCATCAAAGTTGTTGCCTTGTTTCACGAGCCAGCAATTTCCATCGCGTCAATCAATGATTCCACCAGATATGGATGGCACATATGACATAGACCTTATTCTGGAAGAGGATGTGTTCAGGACGGGAGGTAGGGGTCGCCCACAGAAACAGTACAAGGTCAGGTTCGCTTATCAGAAACCTAAGGACGACATGTGGTTCACAAGAACAAAACTTCTAGAGACTGCTCCCGACATAGTGCACACCTACGACAGAGAAAGGAAAGGTAAAGTTTTTGCCTTGCGTTGAAGTATTCTCGGAGGACATCAAATTTATACCGTCGGGAGTGAAACGGTTTTCACCTTTACGGTAGCAGATGCATTTCCCAGGGCT